GTGGGGAGACTGATGAAGGGCCAGTACATCAGCTTGTGAGATATCACTGTTTTCCTAAATTAATTACACCATCTACATTCAGGAATCCAAAAGTTATTTAGATTTTCCTCTAACTATTACCGTCACCATTTTAAAGTAAATAAGACTTTTCATTACAGATTACCTTTGACAAATTTTAACATTTTTCTATTCTTCAAAAATATATTTCCTGGGCCTCCCAGGTGGCACAACAGTTGAACACTGATTTGCGAAGCTGCCTACAGTCACTGCAGTGCTAGTTCGATCCCGGTCGCCGGCGAGGGTTCCACATGGCATGCAGACCTCTCCTGCTGCACCCGCTGCTCCCCTCAGCAGTGTATTTTCTCAGTCTGCCTGCTCTGCTCCCTGCTCTGGGGCTGTTGAATTCTCTCACCCTCCCGCACTTCTGACTGTACCCAGTGCTTGTGTAAATAAATAAATAAATCTTTAAAAAATATATTTCCTGAAATAATGCAGCCATTTTTGAAAATGCATATCTGTTTGACATTCAATATATGAATCCTAGTTTTTTTTAAATATTATGGCTGGTATATGAATGAGTGTTCTAGAACTCACTCATCTTCCCACATTTACTTGAAATCAAGCAGTTGTAAAGGGGTTTGTCCTTGGGAGTACACAGTCACGGGACCCCAGTTCTGGGCACTCAGTACCCACAGCCCCTGTGTGTGTCTCCACTGAGGACCCCGCCTTGTGGAGGGAAGGGAAGGGGAGACAGAATGCGGGGCCCCCCAACCCTCACGATTCGTAATGGGGCAACATCCTCCAAGAGAAATTCATTCTTCTATTCAAAAGTCAAGTAGGAATTGCACTTGAAATGAATACCCCACAGATGGGAGGGAGTTTCTTAATCTGAATCTGGGTTGTTTCCATAGCCTACCTATTGTAAACAGTGCTGCAATAAACTAGCGGTACAGGCGTACTTTTGAATTATTAATGTGTTTTTGTCCTTTGGGTAGATCCCTAGGAGTGGGATTGCTGGATCATATGGAAGCTCCATTTTTATCAGTTTGAGGAATCTCCACACAGCTCTCCATAGTGGTTGGATCAGTTTGCACTCCCACCAGCAGTGCAGGAGAGTTCGTTTTTCTCCACATCGGATGCCCCCTCATCAATGACTGGATCAAGAAGGTGTGGTCTATACACATAATGGAATATTACTCAGCAATCAAAAAGATAAACTCATGCCATTCACAGCAACACGGATGGAGCTGGAAGGGATCATGCTCAGTGAAATAAGCCAGACAGAAAAAGAAAAATACCAGATGGTCTCACTCATAGTAGGAACGTAGAGGATCCAAATAAGAGAACAGGAAAAAAAAGTAATTATAATAAAGTAAAAATCAACACCAACAGGCGACTATAAACCAGACTCACTACAATGGGGACAAGGGAGCAGGATCAAACTGGGTGGGAAGGGCACAGGGGACGGCAGTGATGCTCGCAGTTGAGTGGGTGCTGGGATCTCACAGGGACTACACCTGAGATGAGAAAGCATACATTGTGCAAAAAATGAAGAATGATGTAAAAATATATAAAAAATTACTAAAAATAGAAAAGAATCGGAGTCTATGATTGAAACCTCTATTTCATGGTCATTTATACGGTGTTCTGCTTTGATTAGAGTCCATTATAAGCATGCTTTTAAAAAAAAATGTGAACTATTTTTGAAGAACTATGTTTTGTCAATTAATTTTTATAATTTTTAATACACTCGTTGCTCTTGTGTTTATTTTTAGGAGTCCGCATGTGAGGGGTTCACAAGGTTGGTGTTGATGTCCTGCACCAGGTCATCTTCCCCACTTTCTGGTATGTTTGCAATTATGTCACTTTTTATATTATGAAAAGTAAAGCAGGCAATACTTGTAACTTTTATTTTCCAGCAGCTTCTGTGCTGTAAACCCGGGGCCTCACGGCTGCTCACCCACCCTGAGAACATGAGCTGGGGGAGGCTCCTCCCTCACGTGTCCTCTCTGCTGCGGGACACGGTGTCTCCAAACACGCCTGACGGATCATAACAGACTCAGTCTAGACAATATTTCTCTTATAACATGCATGTTAATGACCAGACCGAGTCCATTGAGATTTCAGAGTAGAATCTGTGTGGGGAAGTCCCCCAAGTTGCTCATCTTTCCATGAACGACCCTAATGACAGGTGTCTCCCTCCTGGGCCTCCATCACTCTCAGGCCACAGCCTTTACACACTTTCTGTCTTGGCTTTGAGTGAAGCCTCTAGACTCTGTTGAGAAGAGGATTTGACCTCCCAAGTTGGGCGATGTGGGGTCATGGTAATAATCGCCATTTGTCATGTCTTTGCCGTCTTGTTTTGGGGTTCCATTTCTGCCCCTCTATGTGTGCAGTGCCCCATGTGCACTCCACGGAACACCCATGTGAACACCCTTCTGCCTCCACAATTCAAGGACAGGGAACCCCATGGGTAATAAACAAGCTGCCCCTCCACATTAGAGCGCTCCTGGGCCTCAGAAACCGCTTGAGCACAGGCCCTATGTGGGGAGAAGCCACGTGCACCCCACACTCCTGACAAGGGCAAGTGTCCATCCACACACGTGTGTACCCATCACAACAGGGAGCAGCACCCCAGTCCAGACAACGGCCAGGCCTAGGCGGACACTCTCTAGGGAGGACACCCAGTGCCTGCAGAGTCGCGGGCAGGTGGATTCAGGTCCAGACCCTGCTCCGAGCTCGCTGGCACATCCTGACCCCCGCATGGATGTGTTTGTTCCCATCCCAGGATGGGTTCATCCTGAGGGGCCAGCAGAGTCCAGGGCGTGAAAGTGTCATTATTCAGTTCTAAGGTCTAATAAGCTGGGCAGACGCGGTTCTGCTGCTTCCTGGGACCTCTGAGAGCTGCCGGTGATGACGCGCCAGCTCCTCACACTCAGCCCACACTTTCCACCATATACCCTTCCCTCAGTGGGTGCTGGACACTGGGGTCCACACAGTGGACAGACTCGAATCTGTGTCTGGAGAGATTAAATGTGGGATGTGTTCCTGGGCTGAGAAGCTTTCTCAGCCAGGGTGAGCAGGAAGGACTGACCATTCTCTTCATGGGCTGAGGTGTTTCAACCAGAAGAGTTTATGTGAGGACGCGGGATCCCCCACAACCCGCATGAGCAGCACCCCAGTCCCTCAAGCCCCCACAACCTTCTCCCTGAGGCCTAAAGGACTCCCCGCCCAGTGCTGACCCCGCCTGCCCCTACCACGCAGGCAGAGCAGGAAGAAGTGAGTGTTGACTCCCGGGTGGTCTAGGACATCCAGAGCATCGGTGGTCACAGTGCCCAGAGGCAGGATCCCCCAGGGGTAGGCATGTGTCATCTGCAAGGCCAAGGCTGGGGGACATGTGGGCACATGAGCGGGCAGACGTGGCACGGCGTCTGTCCCCCTAAATGGCACACACGGGGATCCCCAGAGTTCGGTGGCACAGGCAGAGCCAGACACCCGCCCCCCAGGGGACCCTAACCCAGTCGTGTCCACCCCATGTCAGGCGGGCAGGACTGTCCACATGAAGGCGATGTTCACGCGAGGTCAGCAGCAAGTCAGACTCTCAGGCACTAGAGGGGCCGGCGGGAGCATCAGGACAGGGAGAGTAGCTGCGGCGCCAACACTCGCACTTCAGGGGATCAAGCCTCTGCCCAGTCTCCTCCCAGTTTGGGGTGTCTGCTCATTGTCCTGCTCTCCCTGTCCCCCACTCGGCCCCTCCTACCCACAGCACATCACCCAACACCTGCCAGGCCCAGGAGGGTGCTCGTGGGTGGCGGCGACTTTCCTGCTCCCTGTAGCTGGGCTCATCCTGGCTCTGACCATGGGGCAACAACAGTCCCCGTGGAGGTCAGGGGGTGATGGGCCTGAGGAGGGACCAGGTCCTGTCCTCACTGGGGTAAAAACTAAGGAAATGGCTTCTGACACACTCAGGGCACTAATGATCACTGGGATGAGCCATAAGGTGACGCCAATTAAGACAGTGACCTGCAGAAGGGCTCTTGTCCCTCTGGAGGAAAGTCACTTGATGGATGGATCTTGGACAGTGTCCAACACACGGACACCAGCTGCAGAGCTCAAATAGCCCAGCCCTGAGGCCCTGTTCTGTCCATGAGGTGGCGCAGGATGGGGTGGAACATCCTGTGAGTGCTAAGAGGCTCCCAATGAGCCCCGACCATGGAGTGAAAGGCCGGGACGCCCTCTGTCCTGCCATGGGGACAACCTCAGGACACAGACTCAACACGGCAGCGGGAACTTCCCCCCAGACTGCAGGTATCTGCCCCTAGCTGTTTGCAGGGGAGAATCCACTCATACTTGAGGGTTTTCAGATCAAGCTTCATTTTAGATATGAGAATGTGCCACAGTTAAACTATTCACTTTGTAAATCACGACAACTGATGCTGACGGGGCCCAAGTCATCATGTCCCTCTGCCCTGTCGGCCTGGGTGAGGCTCGGTGAGAGAAAACACATTCTCTTGTAATTTACGATGCTCATAGATACTGACTTTTTTTTGAGGCCTTAAAAATAGACAATATACTACATTTAAAACAAGATTGCACTGAATATATCAGAATTGCATTATTATTTCATAAATTGTTCTTTTACTAAACATGCTGCCATGTCCAGCTATCCCCGGATGTGAGTGAGTGTGTTTTTCTTTTTGGCATTCAAATTTAAGGAAGAAAATCATGGTCCTTTGGGTTAGCATCTATGTTTTCCACCTTAATTAACTAGATCTTTGAAAATGGAAATGGAAACCTTCTCTGACAGCAGAATTTATCTGGCGGAAGGATAAATAATTCTCCAGAGTGAAGTGTTGCTAGTCTATTAGGAGACGTGCCAGGTGTGACCTCACGCATGGCTCCTCCGCCGGCCCGTGACCACCGTCTGCCGCTCCTCCGCCCCCCGGGCCTCCCCTGAGCGCGAGGACCCTCGGCGGGGACCGGCTCCGCCCCTGGGAGCTGCCTTCTGCGCGCGCCGCTCTGGGCTCCTCAGGGGTCGGGCAGGTCCGAAGTATCCACTATGACTTTAATAAAAATGGTGTCGTCTTTGATATAGGTCCCGTTCTCCAGCACGGTCTGGGCCACGAAGACCGGGCAGCCGGAGGCGATGTTCATCTCCCCGGTGGGCTTCTTGAAGCTGCTGCTGTTGGGGTCCGGCTTGAAGGCGTCGCCCAGGTGGCGCCGGGAGGAGCCCTGGTCCATCAGCATGAGCGTCACCTTCTGCTTGAAGGGCCAGGGCAGCAGCGCGTCGTACTCGCCGCACATGATGACGAAGAAGAGCGACAGGTGCGTGCTCATGACGGCCTCCTGCTTCCGCCGCTTGTAGTCGCAGCTCTTCCAGATGAGCACGCCGTTGTAGCTGGCGGTCTCCAGCACCTGGAAGCGCAGGTCCATGTCGGCCAGGCGGACGTCGTGCACGCTCAGCATCTGGTCGTGCCGGCTCAGCTGGGACTCCAGCAGGCCTGTGTTCCTGGCGGCCTGCCCCGCAGTCTTGTCCACGCTCTCCAGCTCGGTCACCCGGTTCTGCAGGGACTCCACTCTGCTCTTCATGCTGTCGGCTTCCTCCCAGTTCTGCCGGAAGGGGCGGATCTCCTTGTCCAGCTCTTTCAGCTTTTCCCCCTGGCTGTCTATCACTCCTGTAGGTGAAGTATTTTGGCCTCGTTGTTGCGCAGCGTCTCCTTCTGCCTCTCGATCTCGACCTCAAAGCTGCAGATCTGGTTGTGCAGGCTCTGGATGCTCTTATTCTTCTCCGCACTCTCGTTCTGCAGCAGGGAGACCTTCTTCTCCAGGGAGCTGCTCCACTCCTTCAGCAGGTTGACGTGCTGCACGGCAGAGCTGGCCTCATGGGCCTTGATCTGCTGGTTGGTCCCCTGAAAAACGCAGCCATAGCGCTTAAACTACAGGTGCTGGGGGCATTGACACACTCTGACAAGTGTGCACTCAACTCGCGCTTCAGGAGCGTCTGGACGCTGCACTTGTGAGGGCAGGACACCACCATGCAGGGACACTCGGTGTCCTCGTGTTTCTGCAGCGTGACCTTGGGGACCTGGCTTTTGCAGTGCGTGCACGTGGCCTCTCAGTACTTGCAGGCCTTGTCCACGTGGTCGCGCGGGTCTCTCCGCAGCACCCTCTCCTTGCAGTCTGCACGGACAAAAGGAAGCTCTTCAAACTGGCAGTGGTTCTTTAAATGCACCAGCAGCTGTCCCAGCGTGAGCTGCTCTGCGCAGCCTCGACTCTCGTTCATGCAAAATATCTGAAGCGCCAGAATCACTCTCTTGCAGCAATTATCAAAGATACTGACTTTTAATACAATGAGCATATTAGAAGATTGTGACTTATGGGAGACGTGACAATTTCTGCTGCACACCTGGGATGAGCACCAGCACACTCAGTGTGTTCTGGGTACTGAATAAAATAACAAGAATTAACAGAATTGGATGGTGAGGAAGACATTCCAGAGGGAATTAAAAATTACACTATTGTTCGATTCAGAATGTTATGCCTTTTCTCCTGAACATGATAACAGATGAGTCAGGTAGAAATTGAATAACTTGTCAGCGACACTGTTGACGTCTTCATGGCTCTGGCACTAACATCGGTCTATTTGTGGACGTAAATTTGGGATTTTTCCCCAAATCCACACTCAGGGATTGTCGGTGTAATTGTAAAATGAGTCACAGTATTTAATCAGGGCTGGGAGGAGATATGTCAAGTTATTTTATCCATTTTAAAGATGTATTTAAGGTCACTTGACAGATGTCAACATTTTTCACCACCACGTACCCTGATTTATTTTTGTGTATTCATGAAATTTCTGGAATTATCCCCACCAATGTGTGGCAATAATTTTATATTACTATATTCTCCTAAAAATCCTGCCTCCACAGGGCCTGCCCCTGCATCACCCACAAAGTGAGGAGAGGGTGAGATTGTGGGGAGGGGAGTGGGCAGGACTGTCCCGTGTCCAGGCGTCCCCACACACGCACGGGCCTGGGGGGAGGAACAAACCTGCACCCGGGGGACCCGGGGCCCTGGACCGGCAGGCACAGCCACATGCACAGACCGTCCAGCTCGGCCCAGGAGCGGCCTCCTCCCTGCAGAAATGTGCATGGGTCTGAGGGGGACAGAGGGGACAGGCGGGGCCCTGGACACTCCCCCGAGGAAAGGGGGCGAGGCCGGCATCTCTGGGCAGCGGTACAGGCTGAGGCAGGTCCAGGCTCTGAGCTGGGCCCGGGCGCAGGAGGATCTGGCCGGACCCGGGGCATCAGGCGGTGTCCGGAACCCCTGAACCCCTTTCCTGGAGCTGCCCACGTTGGGGGGTCGCGGCCTCCCTCCTAGCTCCCCCACGAGCTGCTCCTGCCCTGGCGCCTCAGGGCCCTTTTATGGAGAGCCGCACTTCCAGGGCGGGGCTTGGACCAATCAGGCGCCTGGGCAGACGGACCCGGCCCAATCAGACGCAGGGTTGCGACGTGGTCCTATGGGGCTGGGGGCCGGGCAGCCCGAGAGGCTCCGCCCCGGCGGCTGAGGGGAGGAGCCCGGGAGGGGGCGGGGCTGCGGCCTGAGGCTGGAGCCGGCGCCGGTGAGGAGAACAGGACAGGCTCTGAGGAGAGAGGGGGACCGCGCGCACGCGTCCTGGACGGGGATGCTGAGGCTGAGGGAAAGAGGCGCCGTTGGCACTGCAGTGGCGGGCAGAGAATCCGACGCCCGTCCAGGCGCAGGCTCGGGTCCATCCTGCGTCCCTGCTGGCCGAGGCGGCCCGAGGCCCGGCCCGCACCTCAGAGCGGGGCGCGGTCCGGACCCCGGAGCGGGGGACACTCCGGCTCGGATGCCGCCCCGGGCCAGGAGGGACCCCGCACGAGCACCCCTGACCCGTGCGCCCAGCCGCGCGGTGACCGGGGGTGACCACGACCGCTGGCCGGAGCTGCCTGCGCGCCTGGGGCAGCGCCCGCTTTTGGGCGCCATCGGGCGAGACCCCGGCGCCTGCACGGCAGCCGCTGGCCGCGGGGCGGGTGGACGCGGGGCCGGGGAGGCGCCGGAGCCCGAGCGGCCTGTGGACGGGCCAGGCTGACCCCGCCGGGCACACGGGGCGGAGTGTGGCCCTCGGGTCTGGAACCCGGTGTCTCCAGCGGCCCCGGGGCGGGCGGGTCCTCGACGGGGTTGGAGACTTTGGGGGTCAGGAGCCGGCGGCAGCTCCTGAGCGGTGTCTCCCTCCCCCCACCCCAGGGTGTCCAGCTCAGCCCACCCCCCCGGGGCGGGCACCATCTTGCTGAAGCAGCCGTAGGCTGGGCCTGGCGGACACCGGGCCCGGGGCAGGACTGGGCATGTGGCCCAGGACTGCCCCGTCTCCCTCCCAAGTAGCCCCTTGTCCGTGCACCCTGCCCCGGTGGGTGTGAGCATGCGGGGGACACCCCTGGGATAGGGTCCCCCCACTGCTGTCTCAGAGCCCAAGACACAGACCAGGAAGTGGACAAGAGAAAGACAGTAGCCCTCGGGAGGCTCCCAAATTGTAAGAGAAACACAAGATTTAGTAAAACACGAGGACTCAGGTTGTATCACATTTATAGGTGCGGAGAATAAAATGGCATTTAAATAAAAATATTTAGTAACATGAACATATTCACATTTTTCTTGGTTTTCCTCCCCCCCCCCGCCTCCACATTTCTCCATCCCCCTCACACCCATCTCCCAGGTCTCCCCATGGAGGGCACACAGTGGGTGACAGTGACTTTCCAGAGCCCTTTGGACGTGGCTCATCACAAGGCCCACAACCTGGTCCCCCTGGACTGGTCAGTGGAGGGTGATGGAGGCTGGAGGAGGAGGAGCTGCGTCCTGTCCACAGAGGTGTGAACAACTAAGGAAATTGCCTCTGACAACCTCAGTGCAGTAATTGCTCCCTGAGATGTGGTACTGGATGATGCCCATTAACACGGTCAACTCAAAGAGGGCACTTGTCCCTCTTGAGGAAGGTCCCTGAAGACTGGAATCTGGACAGTGTCCAACATGCGGACGCCAGCTCCAGAGCTCAAATAGCCCAGCCCCGAGGCCCTGCTCTGCACTTGAGGCGGCACAGGACGGGGTGGAAAGTGCTGTGAGTGCTCAGAGGTGGCCCCATGAGCCCCGACCATGGAGTGAGACGCCGGGACGCCCTCTGCCCTGCCATGGGGACAACCTCAGGAGAGAGACTCAATACAACAGCAGGATCGTTCCTCCCAGACTGCAGGTATCTTCCCCCAGCCGTTTGCAGGGGAGAATCCACTCACACTTCAGAGTTTTCAGATGTCAAGGCTCATGTTAGACTTGAGAAAGCGCCATAGTTAAACTATTCATTTTCTGAATCATGACAACTAATGCTGATGGTGCCCAAGTTGCTCATGTCCCACTGCCCTGTCAGCCTGGGTGAGACTCAGTGAGAGAAAACTTAAGTTATTTGAGGATCTTCCACAAATTATGCCATTTTAATGCAGTCATCATAGGGTTACATTTTTATGATTATGTGACAGTAATATTACATACTGATTTTAGTGTTCACTCAGTATGTATTAAATATTGTATGAAATCATTATAATTAATGATTATTTTGTAACTAAGATGAAATTTCAAAATCCTTATTGTTAAATTTCAATTTATTTGTTTTTGTTCCTAATATTATGACAGATATGAAGTAAAAATTCAACAACTTTTATAATGATATTTTTGACTATCTCAGGACTCTCACACTGAAGAGAGGCTGCCATGGACATCTGACTATTTGTGGAAATGAACTTGGGATTTCCCCAGTTCCACAGATCTAGGACTGCTAGAGAATTGGAAAATAAAGTCACAGTAGTTAAATATGGAAGAATATATATCAAAACTTACATCATTGTTACAATATGTACTTTGAATCTCACAAAAGATGTCTACAAATTTGACAATGTGATCCTTATTTTTTTTATTAAACTATTTGGAATTATTTCTACTAATGCATTTCTATCAATTTATTTCCTACATTTTCCATTAAACCTTACTGTCACAAGGACTGTCATCCTAAGGGAGTGAGGTAAGCATGAGATTGGGGGGGAGAGAAGAGAGGGTAGGGCTGCCACGTGTCCAGACGTCTCCACTCACACAGGGACCTGGGGGGAGGAACAAACCTGCACCCCGAGGGACCCAGGGCCCTGGGACTGGCAGGGACAGTCACACACACAGACCATCAGGCTCAGCACCGGAGCAGCCTCCTCCCTACACAGATGTGCATGAGTCTGAGGGGGACAGAGGGGCCAGGAGGGACCTGGTGTGGACGAGCCCATCCTGCAGGAGGGATGTGTGGGTGTGACCCAGGAGGATACTCTGCGGGAAACGTGGTCTCTGAATCCTCAGATGTGGGGAGTCAGGGGCAGGGAGATGAGGAGATGAGGGGACGGACCAGGAGGCAGCAGTGAGGCCACAGGGGCAGGAATCTGACAGAGGAGGCATCAGGAAACACCGCATGGGGACGCCGAGCCCAGATCATTCAGTTCCAGGACAGTGTCGGGTCCTGGGGAGCAGGAAAACAGGGACCCGCACACCCCATCTCCCTGCACACCCGTCCCTGTGGGGTCTCCCCAGACCGGGGCTGTGCTGGAAGAGCAGGGACAGGCTCTCCATGGTGGGGAAGGGCTTGGCATGTTCACGTGTCCTCTGGGGCTGTGCCCTGGACAACCTCTGGGAGGTGTGCTGGGCAGAGACGCTGGGCATGGGCAGGAGCTGGGAGCTGCGGGACTGGAATGTTGTGGGGGAGGGCTGTCAGTCGGGTTTGTTGACACATGGGAGATTCTAATTTGTTAAAGTTGTAGGGGAGAGATGAAATTTGTAGTCTTTATAAATTTCATAGACAAGTTGGACTGCATAATAATGACACAAGAGATGGAAAAGTAAAAAAGTTGAAACAGCAGGACACCCAGATGAGGATATTAGACTCTGTAGGACCTAGGAGTAATTACCCAGTAAATAGAATGAAATATTATACTATGCTGATAACCCATTTTATGCTCAGTACTTGAAGATTTGACAATGTTTTTTAATCCTCTTATTTTTTTTTTAAACAGACGATGGCTCCAGGGGTGACCAATCTCACAGCCGTGACAGAATTTGTGCTCCTGGGGTTCCCCACCCAGGGGACCATGGGCTTCTTGCACCCGCTGCTTTTCTCCCTGGTCTACCTTTGTGCCCTGCTGGGGAACGGGCTCATTGTCCTCATCACCACCCTGGACCGGCACCTCCACACCCCCATGTACTTCTTCCTGAGGAGTCTGTCCTTCACAGACTTCTGCCTCATCTCAGCCACGGTCCCCAAGTCCATTGCCAACTGTCTGAGGCACAGCAGCTCCATCTCGTTACCGGGCTGTGTCCTCCAGGTCTTCATGATGATTATGTCA